CTTGATATGCCAAGAAACTGACTTGTACAATTGGCTTCTTTAAAACCTCTTTAGGAAACTTTGGGATGCTTTGACTGGGGATGTGTTGCATTCTTTTGAGCACAAACATATTGTTCGAGCTTGCGCCTTCTCTGAGGTATAGTAATTTTATTCGTTGTTACTTGTTAATGTCTATTTGATTGATTTAGAAAGATTTCTTGTTTTCCGACATACTGGTCTTGCTATATGTATCCCTTCATTGTTCATGTGTTCAGCTCAAGTCAAATGCATTATGTTAATATCATGTATGCGTCTAACATGGTTCTCTCATCAGGATACGAAATCGCTAATCACTGGAGGGTTTGAGAAAATTCTTCGTGTATTCGACTTGAATCGCTTGGATGCGCCTCCTACAGAAATTGATAAATCTCCTGGTTCTATCAGAACACTTACGTGGCTTCACAGTGATCAAACGATATTGAGTTCTTGCACTGATATCGGCGGGGTGAGGTATGAACTATGTATATATCTCACAAAGAAAAACTACACCTGAATGATTGCATAAGACAAGACAGATTTAAGAAACTCATTGTTTCTTATTCTATTGTCTTGAACAGGTTATGGGATGTGAGGAGCGGCAAAATCGAGCAAACACTAGAAACTAAGTCTCCTGTCACCAGTGCTGAAGTGAGTCAAGATGGACGGTATATAACAACTGCTGATGGATCGACTGTTAAATTTTGGGATGCGAATCAGTAAGCTCTCTTTTCAGGAAATCTGTGTCTCTGTCTTCTTTTGGAAAAACAATATCTTTTGCATTCTGCACAAGGCTCATCTTTGTCTTTGGTGAACTTGCAGTTTCGGACTAGTGAAGAGTTACGACATGCCCTGCAATATCGAATCTGCGTCTCTTGAGCCAAAATCTGGCAACAAATTCGTTGCTGGTGGAGAAGACATGTGGGTTCGACTGTTTGATTTCCACACTGGAGAAGAGATTGGTGAGTGACTTAGAACTATGAACACGTACTTGAGCTTTCTCTCAGTTTAAACAGATTGACTTAATCTTACGATATAGCTTCCTATAACTGTCATAGTTAAGTGGCTTAAAGTTTTCGGGCTTTGATGAGTCTCTTTATCTCTGAACTTTAGGATGCAACAAGGGACATCATGGTCCGGTACACTGCGTGAGATTTGCACCAACAGGTGAGTCTTATGCTTCAGGGTCTGAAGATGGTACCATAAGAATCTGGCAGACATGTCCTGTGAATCCTGAAGAGATGAGCGAATCAAAGTCAGGGAAATCGAAGCAGAACGTGGAGGAGGTTGCTCGTGAGATCGAAAGCTTTAACCTTAACAAGGAAGGGAAAACTGAAGAGAAACCAACGGATGCCTAAAAAAAAAGAAAGTTGCTGCTTCTCTGTCTTCTTACTACTTTGGTTGGTTTTTACTGTGTTTCTTGTTTCCAAGACTGAATATACGGAAATTCAAACAAGTCTTTTGAATCCAGATTTGAAAAGTAAGTTTTATGGGGTAATTTCCTGATTAAAAACTAAATAGTGGGGCTAATTTGTTATATAGTATTAAATAATCTGACATGGGCTTTTTTGGGCTTTAGAGTGTGACATGACAGCTGAAATAAGCGATAGAGATGAGGGGTAAAAGTGTCAATTTAAGTCCCATAAAATCCGTTTTCAGACTTCTGCGTCTCTATATTTTCTACTTTTTTTTTTATCTGGTCTGGA